CTGAAAAGGACTATTATTCTGACTTAGACACAGTAAAAAATAAAATAAGTTAATGTGCTAACCAATCGAATAATCACAATTTATAAATCTTTTAATTTACCAAATTTAAAATCTGTTATTTTTTTTTTACTTTTACGTTATTGACAGTGTGTTTGACAACAGATACATGTGTTCCAACACAATCAAGTTCCGAATTCAGCCCCAATCATCGACAGGTCGAATAAGTCGTCGACAATAAGTTGTGAACTGGTTTGTGTATGGTTCCAAGATTGTTGTTGGAACAAACCTTACGTAAATATAAATGCCAGTTAATTGTACGTTTATCGTAGAATCCTTAGACTAGGTAATAAAGAGAGGACGCGTAACAAGTATATCGAGCACACGTAGTATTCTGTGGCCGCCATTATTTGGTGCTTAGCATTTCGGTGACACCAAAGATTTTTTTCGTGTTTATTTCTGATTTTTGAATTAATACATTTAATAATTTGTTTATTACAATGGTTTATTGTGTGGCATATCAGTGTAAAAGTTAAAGCGGCAAGAAAGAAGCAGATATTACGTTTCACAGGTAAATGAAAAACATCAATCGTTTTTACTTTATATATTTTCTTATATTTTTCATTTTATACAACTTGGTATTTACATATTATACATGTCTCACTCCAGAGTAATAAATTTTACCCACCAAGTTTGTTTATTTTATGCTTTTCATTGATATTTAAGCAATTAATGATATTAAAATGGCCAAACAAGTATTTTTTTCCAGTGGCGTACTTTTATTAAATTCTAATTTACTTTTGCTTTTTATTGCAGCAATGTTTATTTGTTTTATTTTAGATTTTCTGTGGATTCAACAAAAAAATCTTTGTATTCAGGCAACGAAAATTGCAAATTGGATGCCTACGTCAAATGATAGCTTGTGTTCAAAATATTTTGAAAGACATTTTTTTATGGGACGGACTGTAAAAGACGTTTACTAAATGGAGTAGTTCCCACTATATTTCCCGAATTCCCTAAATTCATGCAGCCGAAGAAAAAGAGTATACTAATTAACATAATTAAACATATATAAATTTTTTTAATTACTTTTTATTATTGTTATGCACTTTCAAGAATTTAGCAACTCTTTTGTGTATAATTCAAAACATTACCATAATAATCTTTTTCGTACTGATTTTTGTAAACAAGCATGTTAAAAGGCACACGTGAAAAAATATAATCGATAAATATTAATTTTAAGTATATTCGTTTAAAAAAATGGGATAAAAAAAGTAAAGTAATAAGTGTAATAAAGGCTTTGTATTATACAGATGGAACTTATGGCACAAGATCGCGGATTTCAGAATCTCCGTAGCCATGAATCACAATGCGCTAGTTCAGTGATGATGTAATTATGGTTCCACTGACAATTAAAGTGACAGTAGATTTTTTGAGTACGTTTTTTTTTGTTTACCTAAATTATATCGTTTTTTTCACTTTTATAAATATATTCCTAAAGTAAGTAGATAGCATGTATCAAATATACAATCGTTTAGTTACCAATTACATACCTTTAAACTATTTTTTATGACCTGTAAAGAATATTTTGAAATAAAATAAAAACAGTAAAAACGTATATGTCAAATTTATTAATGTTTTTGTTAAAAGTTTCGTTAGAATTAAATGTCAGTGTAACCAAAATGACATCACACTGAACTAGGCCATTAGGCATTCCAAACAAAATGGCTACCAATGGGTTTTGACAGGTTATAATATGGCAACCATGTTTTTCAAAATAAACATAAGCTTAGCCTTGAAGTAACAAGTATTAAAAGTAATTTTAAAAAACCAACTTCAAAATCGTGCAGATGCCGTCACCACATCTTAACCAAATTTGTATGGGACCACCCCTGAGGTACCCTCTTACTAAAGAAAAGAGAATCATAGAAATCGGACAAGGTGGTAAAGAATGATCGCTAAACATACATAAAAAATGAAGAATTTGAGGATTTTTTTTTATGAACCCAATTATTAGATTTTACGAAATTTATATGGGACCACCCCTGATGCACCCTCTTACTAACAAAACAATAATCATAGAAATTGGTGGTAAATAATTACCGCTAAACATACATTAAAAATGAAGAGTTTGAGGATTTTTTAATGGACCTAAATATTAGATTTTTACCAAATTAATATGGGACCACTCCTGAAGTACCTCCTTTCTAACAAAAGAATAATCATTGAAATCAGACAAGGTGAACATACATAAAAAAAATATAACGACGAATTGAGAACCTCCTCCTTTTTTTTGAAGTGGGTTAAAAATGTGGATAATTATTTTTTTAATATATTCAAAAGCTGAAAATTGGTTTGGAAACACATTTTTGCTAAACCGATTCCTTAAATAAAATAAATAATTTAGTTTACATCGAAGTGTCGGTATTAAAAAAATATTGTACGTCACGCCACTGAAAATTAGGCTCGCTCTGGAATCTGTTTGTCTCGACCTGCAAAACACTACTTTCCAGTCTTGTAAAGTAAATTACTATTAACAGAATATGAAAGTGCAAAAGATATTTTATACAACCTTTATTATCAGGTTTCTAAATTTACCGCGCCGTTTTTGTTTGATGAAAGCGCCACACAGTGGGTCAGATGTTAACTGTCTTTTAGCTGGTCGCTGTTAACAATGTGCTTCTTATAAGCGTTTCCTATATTTATCTCCCTTATCTCTGTTAGTAATTGTAAACTTAATAAATCAAATTAAAGGTAAAATTGAACTGCGAATCTCTAAAATTGTACTTTACAGAGACTAGTTATAAACATACCGTTCTAAATTTGATTTAACATGGCGGCGATCATAAATCATAAGTGCAGTCTGCAGTCACAAATTTGACATAACCCTGAGTTGCGGTGAATGACATTTTACAGGTGTTTCCACTCTTTTTAAAATATAGCACCAAAAACTGCATAGAATACAAAAAATCCACCAATGTCGGTAGAAGATGAGGTACCGCAAATGAACACAAATGATGACTGCGAACTGTCAAAAAATTTCAATTAATTTTATCTTTATCGAGTAAAAAATAAGTCTATCCAATTTTTTTTAAAATAATGGTAATTTATTAATGTCTACTAATCATACTCTATGTAAAAAACGAAATGGAAAGTGAAAACGAGTAGAAAAATACTATTCCACAATTACCACATACTTATAATAATAACCACCCATATATTTCATCAAAACAAAGTGAGAAAACATTACTATTTTTCATCATTTTTAGTGTACAAGACAACAATAATTAAATAAGTGTAATAGTGTATGTTCTTTCCTACAAAATTGTAAATATTGTTGAAATGGATTTTGAAAAAATAAATGTTAGGTGCCATTTTGATATTATGTTTACAGAAGAGTGAGTATTAAATTATAACTGCTACATTTTAGATAATTAATAAACACATTCCAAAGATACATGCTTACTTTGTTACCAGTTCTAAACAATTTCACATGGAGGATCTCCTAATTGCAATAAAATGTGGTTCTCACAAGGCAAATTGATGAAAAGGGTAGGTACAAAAATGATCTGTAAACATTAATTACCTATATGAATAAGTGTTGTAATAAACTTTTTATTAAACATAAACGCAGAGGATTGTTTTCAATAGATTCATTAAGTTGTACTACTTTAATCATTTACATTGATAAAGAAAAACGAAGGAAATGTAGGTCTTTTCAAGTGCGGAAATTTTATTAGTATTCGCCAAGAGCTTACATTATAAATGTAAAAAAAGAACAAATTATCAATCATTCCATTCTTGTTTACATTTATAATATACGGATGATGTCTTAACAGCCAAACTGCTAATTCTAATAAAATGTACACATGTTTAAAAAATTGAAAATACCTTCATTCGTTTCTTGTCTTTATCTACAAAATAATATAAAAGCTTATAAAAGCAATTACTATCGTCTTTATTATTTTATTTCTACATCGTACACTTCTACTTTTGATATCTAAATTAAAATTTGACATCAGTACATCCAGGTACATCATTCATATCTAAGATCAACAATAACTAGACTAGATAATAACTAGATCTCAACAAAGATGAAAGAAGCATTACTTTAAACTAACTTTAATAATACTGCAAAATTATTAGTTATAAATAAAATACAATTATATTTTTTCGTAAATATAATATGTCATGCTCCGTGAACATTAGTATAATAAGCTGTCAAATGATTGACCAATCATCTGATGGCCAGATCTTGAAGTTGGATACATTTTGATGTTAAAATATACTTTATCTAGCTCTTATAATGGTCAAACGGGTACCTCACCTTCTAACGACCTCTGGTGGATTTTTTAGAACTACGTTGTGTTTGGTGTCATATCGTCTTTTGTTTTTATATGGGATTTTAGGGAAGTTGAAACACCTGAATAATTGTCTTTCATCTTGCCCTGAGTCCACTGATTCTGAAATATTTGAGTAAAACACATTTAAGAATCTCCAGTCATTGTCATGATAAGTGTGATTAAAAGTAATTCTCAATTTATATTAAGCAATTCCCCGAGGTCAATAATAAACCCTCTTGTGTTTACACTTATGTTCATATAATCTTTGTAAATAAATTTTGTTAAAATAAGTGTAGAAACTGAAACTAGGTTTCACGCTTGCGAAATATACGAGTTGTTGAACTCCTCTTAAAGTGCTAATTGGTTAGTAAAAAGTAATAGATGATTAAATTACCTAAGAGAAGGTGCAACATACCGCTCACTTGAACGTGATGCAGTACTCTGAAAGCAAGCACAACTGAATTAAAAATATTAAAACAAACGAAAAATATTACTCTAGCAGGTAAAAAATTAAAAACAGCAAGTTGAGTGAGATTCGTTTATAGTTAAATAAAATCTCTCTAAACTTGATATGTTTCTAATACGGAAAAATAAATTGCTATACGCATTCCCTTAAACTGCCACTCCAAGCTGTAAAACAAATTACGAAATTAATCAAACCTTGGTCGAGGTCTATCTGATAACCTGTTGCTGCCCAAACGTTCTCTAAACGGTGAACTCGACCCAATCGTCTGAAATATTATTTACAATTCGTATTAATCATCAGTAAACGAAGAAAATAAGTAAAGGAAATTAATAAATAAAAACACCTGATGGGTGTTTAATATAATGAGGTTAATAAGAAAAGTAGACTCCGTTTCAATAGTGAGTACAGACAGCAGCGTCACAGATAACGGAAGACTGGTTATTTATGTCGCTTAGCTATGCCAGTGGCTTGACAAGATCGACAATATTACCTATTATAAGTTAAAAGAAAGAAATTTATGTGGTCTCAATTAGTGATACAACAAAAAAAAAACATATAGTTATGTTTAATAGTTATAATAATTAAATTATATATTATAACTCGGAAGATAATTATAAACATTTTTACTAAAAACTGATGATCTTTTGATGTTTTCATGTAGCGTATTATTCAATCATCAGCCCCGGACCATGAATTTTTTTGAGGCGGGGCTAAAACTGAAGAATGCCGCCCCCACCCTCCACTGATGGACATAGGCCTCCCCCAAAAAACCCCACAACTACCGGTATACCACTTCTCTTTCTCTGTCAAGCCAATATTTTTTCGAAAAATACCAGGATGTGTCGGACTCGGACATATATTTTAATTAGGTTAGGTTTTCTGGATGACTTTCTGCTAATAACACAGCTTGAGCAGTAAAGAAAGATCGTTGCTGGTCGGTAATTTTTTCAATGTCTGGCCAATTGCTCGGGTCTGTCAAATCAATTTCGGTTTTCCATTCATTCGAATTCGAGTGATCCGATTCAGATTCTTTGTATTCTGTCTCAATTCTTTCAAATTCCTCTTGCACTCTCGCAGTTTGGCTAGACGATGCAGGTGATACATTTTGATTATCAGGATCGTGCAAAGTGCAAGAAATATCCTCTAGTTGAACATCTTCGCAAGCTGTGGCAGGTACTGACGGGCCACCGCCTCCGCTGAGCCACTTTTTCATCTTTTCCGCATATTTTTTCCCTGAAGAACTCTTTGGCCTTTTTTCTATATTCCGCTCCCGATAGTTTTTTCTTGGCGCGCTCATAATTTCAACCTATAAAACATAATTTTGATATGTTGAACACAAATATGTATTGTAATGACTTTGTAAACCGCCTTCTTTGCAAAACTCAACGATGCGCGTTTCGTTTTAAGACTCAATTTTTAAGAAATGACGCTAAAAAGGTTTAAAATAACAGAAATTTATTATAAAACAGTTGAAAAAGCTAGATAGACCAAAACTAGTCCAAACATATTTTGTATTTCGAAAAATCTCAAAGTGTTTATTGTACCGAAAAGAAACCTTTTAAAATTAAATTTTTAAGAAATAACGCTAAAATGGTTTAAAAGAAAGGACATTTATTATAAAACAGATGAAAAAGCTAGTTAAACCAAAACTAGTCCAAAAATTTATTTTATTTCGAAAGCTCTCAAAAAGTGTTAATTTTACAAAAAAAAGAGTTTTTTTTTTGTCATCGGCATCAACTGCTACGGTTATTAGCCTCGTCTTCTGTGTAGGCTTTGTTACTGTTTCCCAGAGCCACTTTAGGAACAGCACTGTTAATTAGTACCCAACAGTGATGGTCGAGTGGGGAATCCTACCAAGGCATCAGAATTAATTTTAAATAATTAAATTAAATGAAAAAATTCCGGCCAAAGAGTTTTAAAATTCAATTTTTAAGAAATGACGCTAAAAAGGTTTAAAATAACAGAAATTTATTACAAACCAGCTGAAAAAGCGAGATAGACCAAAACTAGTTCAAAAATATTTTGTATTTCAAAAAATCTCAAAAAGTGTTTCATTTACGGAAAACAAACCTTTTAAAATCCAATTTTTAAGAAATGACGCTAATTAGGTTTAGAATAACAGAAATTTATGGTAATGGGGATTCCAAATTATGGAAGCGTACTCCAGTTTAGACCGAACGAATGAAAAATACAGCATTTTAAGAGTTTCTACATCTAAAAACTCCCTACTAACACGTAACAAAAACCCTTACATTTTTGATGCAGCAGACACAGTTTTTTCAATGTGTAATATAAATGAGAGCTTCGGATCAAAAGTTATACCAAGATCAACAAAATGTTCAGGTCTTTGTAAAGATGACTCGTAGTTGAATAAAATAATATCTGGTTTTAATGAAAATGACATTATAAAACATTTTGATGCATTTAAAGGGAGAAGGTTTAAGCGACACCAATTTTCGACTGATTTTATGTTATGCATACGTTCGCAATCAGCATTGTAGGAAATTGAACTGAAAATTTTTAAATCATCTGCATATAAAAGGCAATTTACATTAATGCACTCCACGATGTCGTTAATAAATATATTAAAAAGCAGAGGACCAAGGACAGATCCTTGCGGCACCCCAGACGTTGCAAAGTATTCTACAGACTTAAAACCGTTTAAAAAAACATACTGTTGACGATTTTGCAAGTATGAACGGGACAGTTTTATGACAGACTCTGACAACCCGTAACCGATCAGTTTGTTTATGAGAATCCCATGATCGAGTCTGTCAAACGCCTTTGAAAAGTCTGTATATACAACATCAGTTTGCAGTCGATTGTCCATATTTTCTGCGATATGCTGTGTGCATCTAACGAGGTTTGTTACAGTAGATCGACCTTTTACAAAACCATGTTGATGGGATGATATCATGGGTGAAATATAATACTCTAAGTGTTTGTGCAGAAGGATTTCGAAGACTTTACTAAAGTTGCATATTATCGATATTGGTCTAAAATTCGCAATGTCCGTTTTGTCACCTTTCTTAAATATAGGACAAACCTTGGAACTTTTCCACAAATTAGGTACAGTATGAAGCTTAATGCACATATTTAAAATAATCATTAGAGGTACAGTAAGACTTACAGCACAGTCTCTAACTATAAACGCCGGTACATGGTCAGGGTCGGTGGTTTTCTTCGGTTTGATCTGCCTTAAAGCCCATAACACTTCTTCTTCCTCAAATTTAGAGAGGTTAAATATTGAGTTACATTCAAAGTCGAATGGTGGAGTAGCGTTTGTGGATACATTATAGGATTTGCTAAAGTACTCGGCAAATCCATTTACGATGGCATCAGGATCACTTAACGACACATTGTTGTATGTCATGTTGTTAGATACCGAGTTATTACCCTTCTTTTTATTAATAAAATTCCAAAATTTATTAGGATCATTTTTTATATGAGTTTCTGCTGACCGTACAAAAGATTGATATGAATTTTCGATGTCTAATTTAATTTTAGTTCTCAGACGTTGAAACTCGCGATATTTGTTTTTTGGCATTGGTGTCATCGGCGTCGACTACTACGGCCATTAGCCTCGTGTTCTGTGTAGGCTTTGTTACTGTTTCCCAGCGCCACTTTAGGAACAGCACTGTTAATTAGAACCCAACAGTGAATGGTCGAGTGGGGAATCCTACCAAGGCATCAGAATTAATTTTAAATAATTAAATTAAATGAAAAAATCCCGGCCAACGGTGGGATTCGAACCTGAGACCTTCCGATCCCAAAGTCATGACTCTAACCACTGAGCCAACCCACCCCCCGATATTTGTTGTTAGTTTTAATAGTGTATTTGGGGACACAGCGATCAAAAACGTTGTATAGTTTTCCGTAAAAATAGAAGCAAGCGTCATCTACATCATTAAATACTTCCAAAAATTCCCAATTAATTTTGCTTATCATCTTATTTATAATCATTTATCAAAATAATTTACAAAAGAGGATCTAAAATATTATCGTAATATACTTTACACTCGTTGCGAAATAATAGTTCAAACACTAGATATTTAGCCTATAAACAACTTTGTTTGGCACACGAATTACGTCATCACTAATACAGCTGTAGTCCTTACCATTGAAACAGAGTCTAAGATAATGTACAGGTGATGAAGCTTTCGCATTCATTTTCTATTTTTTTTTTTTTTAAACTACATCACATGACATTTTCTACTTTCGTTTACTACAAATAACACATTATTATACTACAACAGTAAAAAAAAGATAAAGATACATAAAAAATACGTGAAGTAAAAACATGGCAAGTAAAGCAAATAAGTTCATAAAATTTAATCAAGCTCTACGTGAGTTGCATGTTCAATGAAAATTAATAAACAAAGCATTATTATTATCATCATCATCTAATACACAATTTTGCAAGTGTTAGTTATTGTTTCTATTTGTGTTTTGTTAAATTACTGTTGCGCAATCAATAAATAATTAGTAGGTACGTCTAATTCGTAATTATTTAGTGCGATACTTGTGTTGACATGTTGTATATCTAGAATCCATTCAAATGCAAAAATTGTTTACTTGAATATTAAAAGACAATCGGAAATTAATAACCTAATTCATAGAGTATCTTTAAATTTATCTACATGTAAAACCTTAAAATGAATGTAAATTGACATTATTTATATGCTTTTCTATGGATTTTCCAAAAAAATATTAACGAATATTTAATAATTTGAGGAAACCACCTTGTTTCTTTAAATTTTACTAATCAAAGTACGATTTAAAGTGTTGAAAAATCACGCAATTATCCAACTCTATTTTTCTCTAAATTGACGTTGACGGTTCTATATTTAAGGATTTACATGTAGGCAACTATTTAAAAATGCTTTATGAATTGGGATGTAATAAAGTGTCACAGTTTTAAAACAATTTTATAAATATTGAAAACTAAGGATTGATTGTGTTTAAAAGCAGCTTGCTGGATTATTTAATATTACTTAATTTAATTTTAAAAGTGGATCTGCCCAATATTCATAAACAAAACAAAATTACTTTATCTTCCAAAACACACATAGTTAAAAGTGAGCATATGATATCTGAAAAGTGTTAACTCACGGCATTAGGCCTTAATAGGCGCATAGTGCATCATCCTAAGTAGATAGGCACCTTCTAGCTCGCTAGCCAGCCTACAGATTGTTGACAACGTCGCCAAGAGGTTATTCTCTTATATCGACCGGTGTCAGCTAGTTCTCGCCGAACATAAATCTTCTAATGAAAGCGTCGGGCAATCGTAGAGGACTACCGCATGGTGGTGTCACGAGTTGGATTACCTCAGGAAGATAGCTAGGAAATCTTTTAATAAGGCAAGAACCACAAAACTCAAAGAGGACTGAGATACTTACAAATCTCACCTCAGAGAATACAAAAAAATCGTCAGACAAAAACAGAGAGATGCATGGAGATCCTGCCGCGAAGAAATCGAGGCTTCATAAAGCTCTCTCAAAAGATCCACACCGATGGTGTCCATGTTCGCTTAAAGCGTATTGAGCGCCTCTTTCCAGAAGCTACGTCTGGCCTCACCAGATCCTACATCAGGTTCTATTCCAACCATGTGGAAGCGTGTAATTGTAATCAGAGCAATCTCCTGTATGTAAATATCAAGAGGAGTGAGACTAAAAATGACTTCCATGGTTCCGGTCGATGTGGTTTTCATGGCTCCTAATTTCAATTATCTTTTATTTTACTCTAAAACTAATCACTTATTTAGCACACGTTATCATTCTCCGATCTTTTCTGGAAAATGCATCGGTCGCTATATCAATCTAAACAACCGAAAACATACACATTGAATCTTACGATAATTCTAAGACAATCTCAAAACCGGTTACGCCGAGATGACTTCCTCTCCTGTTTAACTACAGCTTGCCTATCGATAGCTCATAGTTGAGTATCTATCACATCGAGCAGTAAACTTTACCTAACATGTCACTTCCTCTAATTTTTCATAGCTGAATCATGCTGATGTATTCAAAAATTGAACTGTTGTAATTATCCTACAATCAACCCTTTGTTTTCTAAATAATAGTTAAAAGATTCGCGATAAAGTGACGAATATAGCTTAAAATTCTGTAATAATGATGACTTATAAAACTTTTCAAGGAGGGCGTATTTACTTTTTCGAGATTTTCATTAAACATAGACTGGAAGAAAAAAAAAACAAAAACATTGCTTGTTCTTGCCAGAATTCAATAGATAAAATGTTCAAAGATAAATTTATACCTGAAAATTGCTCATACTGTTACGCCTAGGTTGGGCCAGTGGAGGAATGCTAGATATATTCAGTGACATCTACAACATGCATAAACAATAGTAGAAGCGGCTAAAACATGCAAATTTGGAAATGGCCGCTTATTTAAGACATTCTCTCAGTTTTCTAAAAACTGTAAGAGCAGTAAAGATATCCACTGCGATTTAAAAGATTTTATAAATTAGGAACGTGTAGTTGTCCTTTAACTATAGAATCTTATGAAATCAAAGTTTCTAATAAAATAAGATGAAATTCTGCTAGTAGGCTGGATTGACGACCGATATACTATTTTATATTGGGCAAATTTTATATAAGCTTATAAACAGTTATATTATTATTATATACTCATTGCAATGAAATTTCCGTTGCACGTCATCAATGATGAAAATTGTTTATCAAATTGTAAAGATACATCATTGCTGTTAGACATATTTGTTACTATTCAAGATTGAAGTGGGCAATTGGTATACGCAACGGACGGTTGCCAAATCAATATTTCTTTTTATATGTATAATTGAACTGTCAAACTTTCAACACTATTATTTTTGTGTTTAATAAACAAATTAATTTTTTTAATTTTAAGTATTTAAATAGCCGTGCGACCGAAATGGCGGGGTCTTTAATATGATATTTTGAAGAAGAACGAGATAATGGTAGCCCGTTATTACCAATAAATGGAGTCAGAGAGAGTGTAATAGCGGCGTTGGCGTTGAATTTGAATCTTTCAACGGTAAGCTAAATTTCCCAGGCATTAAAGCATAACCATATTTTTAATTATTCTCTAAAGAGGCGACCACATCCCAAACATGTAACCAAAATGTTCAATTTTGACTACATTCGTGATGTCATTTAGGATATGTATAAGAAGAAACAACAAGAGAGAAAAGAGAAATGTTTATGGGCTTCAAAAGTTCATTGTATACGATGTTAACCAATTTAGGATTTAAATGGAAGAAAGATGATCCCGGCGGGATCTTATAGAACTTCATCATGTTGCCAATAAAAGATTTAGTTTTTATACACAAGTACAAAAACTCTCTCTATATAAATTTTTTATCGAAAGAAACATGGATTTTTCAAGATGGACAGTAAACCGCTCTTGGCAAAATAATAACGATAAAAGTAGCGTAAAAACTACAAGAATTTATGGAAAAAGATTCATTTTTCTTTACGCTGGTAACGAAAATGGTTTTATTGATGGGACAGAACTGGTGTTTTCATCAAATAGCAACAATCCCGACTATCATAAGGAAACGAATAAAGCAATTTTTTTTTAAATGGTTCGAGAATCAATTACTTATGAATTTAACTGAGCCTTTAACAATTGTTATGGACAATACTTTTTAAAACGCCCAATAATTCCTGGACAAAACCTGAAATTCAGGCAGACGACACACAAGATTTATTGAACACAGTTTTCAGAAATAAACTACCAAAATTTTATAAAGTTCATCAACTTGCAACAATATGGTCACACAGTTATTCGGTTACCTCCTTATCATTGTAAATTTAACCAAATTGAAATGTTATGGGGTATTGCCAAGAATTATTATAAACGGCATATTGGTAACCCTCCAATTTTGGTCTAATTTTATCAGTCATAATGAAAAAATTATTTAGAAATGCTGGGACCGTGAAATTATATTTGAACGGGATGATATCTTACCTGTAATTATTGATTTTAATAATGATAGGGATAGTGATTCTTAATTTGAAAAAGCTTTACTTGTTGTTTATTTTTATTCTATTTATTTATATTGAAAGAACTACTTCCTAAAGGTTATAAAATTGTATATTGAATTAATTATTTAAAGTGTCAAAAGATGGAGTTCAAATTAAACATTAGCTTTTATAAAATATTTCTTGAGATCCTCGAATTTTCTGGCAACGTTTACTTTTATTAGTTTATGGCTTACATTGGAAATTTCATTGCATTTACTTTATCTATGATGTTTGTAGTCGTCTTCGACATAAGCTGTACTATATATTAAATATTAAAAACTCCAAGGTCTGTGTGTTGCCCAAAAACTCTGTGTACTATTTTTTTTTTTTCGTAAATTTTAAAATTAAAAACGGGACAATTAACCCATTTTTCGAACATCATTTAGCACTACATAGTCAAATATTCTTTGTGAACTACTGAATCAGTATTCTTAAAATGCAACGTTGCCGGGTAGGTATTGATCGGTATAATAGTGGATACATCCATAATTTACTCAGTTTTAATATTTGCACATAAAGAAATATAAAAAAAAATAAATAAATTGATGACAAATGTAAATTTTGACGGATGACAGCAACATGAAACTCCTTTTTGCACAGAATACTTTACATTAAAATTGATTCCACACATAGCTTGTAAGTTGTTGGAGCACATGCACAATATAAATTGAAAACTAAACAGAGCCGGCTTCAAAAATTTTTAAAATGTACAATTGACAAAAAATATGCTCAATAAATAATCTAGTGGGGAATTGACTTCGGACTTAGTCCATTAATCGCTGATAGAAAATAGTACATTATGTAACGATCCTGTAATGGTAGCTATTAATATATGAGCATAAAGGAAATGAGTTTAGTATGCTTCATGTGAGCGTATAAGTCGTTACATGAGAGTTGCATACTCTATTTTACCTACGACATTATAAACAAATGATGATATAATTATGTACTTTTGTCATTACTGAGAATCTACAAAACAAATGACAGATTAGTCCTGATTTAATGACTGCATTTGACACGTCTACAACATGACGCCGAGAAATTTTACCGTTTGTTTATTCTTTAGACCTAAAATTGCTTGAACTTTTTGGGTTCGCTCATTCGGTCACTGCGTGAGGAAAATGGTATGATGACAGCATGTTTTCTGTTTTCGAATTTTACTAAAAGCTTGGTTTTAGAGTGGATCAGGTCATGATACAAACATATTGTGGTCAAAAGCGTTCAAATTGTTTATTTTACTACTGTGTAAATAAAATAAAATACAATCGACATATAATTAAGCCGGATCTGTAAAAAACAAATGTCAAGTATGCAGATTATGCTGTATTGACACCTTGATTTTAAAATTAGAAGTGACAACTAAAGTATAATACGATAGATGTTTAGTTTACTTATTTATATTTATCAATTTTAACTTCTTCGAACAACATATAATTCGTCATATGCTTCATAAAATTTAAACTCGTGGCAATACGGTAATGATATGCTGTCTATAATGTGCATGTTCACCAACAACTGAGTCTGTGTAGAAACCAATTTTTGTACGCTATAGGAATCAACAATAAGGTCACTATAGGAATCAAAAATAAGGTTAACTGTCCATATATGTCGGCCTTCTAGTTGTTGTGCCTTTTGTCTCTTTAACAGTGCTATAAAATGGACAGAAAAACTGCACAGAAGGTAAGTTAATTTACTAATAAAAACTTGCCAGACAGATTTTTTTAATAGAGCTGAACTCCTGTTCCAAACATATAAATTAAGGCATTCTGTATGAAAATGTTTCTAACGAAAAAGGAAATTTTCTGTGTATTTTTTCAAAGTAAAATATTTTAATATTTAAAAAATCATGCAAAGATATTTCTAACCCAAAGAAACGATTTTGGAAATGTCTTAAATAAGCAGCATAAATTATTAGATGCTAAGTAACGAAATGTAACTATTTAATGTTAAATGAACAAACCCTCGGTTTCTTTGATATTGTCGATCTTCTGATTTTATTCACGGCCGTGTCTATGAATTTTATGACACCGTCAACCATTTGTTGATGTTCGGCATAGGTTTGAGTTTGGTAAATATCACAGTATTCCGAACCATCGATTATTTTTCTGGTCGCTGAATTATTTAGAGGTATCAGGTAAACTCTAAACCTAAAATAGATAATACTATATTAATAAAAAGTAATTTATTTGCTACGTAACGCATTTTAATATTCAGATCTTATTTTTCCTTTAGGCGAATGGATGTAAAATCCGCAGTCATAGAACCCCCCATCTTATTTTTCCTATATCGCAATAAATGTATTCGATCAAACAAATCGGCAACAAGCATGTTTCTACGTTTCTTGCTTCCCTTGTTCATCGACATCTCCACTTTTGCCAATTATATCTCTTTACATTATAACAGTATACCAACCAGAATAAAATAAGCACTGTATTTAATTATTATCATTGCATATCACGTACTGTTTTATTTTTCATGACAGGATGGCACGTTGATATAATATACAGGGTGTAACAAAAAGATGTACATTAAATTTAACCGCAGTTTCTGGGATATGAAATAAGCCCATTTAAGAAATTTTGGAAGTGATTTTTTGCGTTTACTCTTATGAAAATGTACATGAGCTGTTAGTATACAGTGACCAGTAAAATGGAGCCAGTGGCGTTCAAAATTGTTTTAATTCTATAGGTTTTTTAGAAGGGTTCTGCACCCCTTTCACCCTTCTACTTTTTTAGAGAATTACACTCAGTTAAAAAGAGGACGCTACTGAAATCCTACATGTGTTATGAATTTTTTTGTCACTTATTATTTGTTTGTGAAAGCCAAATTACTGAGTTATAGGCCCCTAAAGGAAGGTCATAGTGAAAAATATGCACAATGAGATTTTTCTATTGATCTTTTTTTTGGCTTTGGCAGAGACCAATTAGCCAGACTTTTTTTTGCTTGTAAAATGTAATTATTTACTTGTACCGAGATACAATGGTTGGTTTAAGTGGTTAGTAAAACTGTGTAATTGTTTATTTTTTTTATTCTTTTGGGTTTGAGTTTGTTTTGTTTTATTCTCATTTTTTTATTTACATACATAATTTTTATATTTTTTGTTATATTTTTTTTATATATATATATATTTTTGTTTTTTCGCCTACACACTTACATATTTATTTATTAAAAATGTGGAACACTTCACGATTTTGCGTGTCATCCTTGCTAATCTTCTCTGTATCGCTCCAATTTTAGTACATGTACCGCCGAAGCGAGTACTCTATCGATCTTAAACCACTAAATATTTATTCACGATTTTTTTTACTATTTTATAACTTCATTTACAATTATTCCCTTGTAATGCTATCTGAGAAATGTGTCAGTACCTTAGTAGAAAATGGAAATATCGTCACAATTGAATTTGAAAAATATTGTTAAGGAAAACGGTCTTCAGTAAAATTGCGAAAAAACCTTATAAATGAGGTTTCTACCAAAATATATTACTCCTGATGAAGATCTACTAATTAACATCTCTGGAACTTCAATAGAACATACTTAATCAATTAAATTGTAAGCTTTTCTACTAGTGGTAACAGGTGACGTAATAGGCATCGATGACGTCACCAGGCAACTGAAGTCAATAATAATAAAAAATGGGATCTTATATTAAGTGACACCTCGTTTGAAAGGTATTAAAAATACCTATTCAATCATACAATTTTTTTTCGATTTACGATGTTTTTGATGGTTAAAATAAGGTTCCATTTAATATTATTGGTTTCACTCAGGGTAGCCAGTTCCCCTGTAAATAGTTGGTAACAAGTTTGTTTGACCTCGACAGTGGCGCGCTGAGCGCGTTATGATGAACTATAATTCGGTACAGTCGGTAAAGTAGAAAACTACTAGGTAAAGCGATTTAAAAAATGGCGGACTTTAAAATTTATGAAATTTGAAGTAATTTCAAGTAACATTTTCCTATTTTACAGCTTTTACTTACAATAATTGAAACAATCAATAAGTAAAATGAATTTTTATTGTAAGTAAATGCTGAAAAACGGAAAATGTCACTTGTTTTAAATGAAAAATAAAAACATTTGTAATAAGTTTATTTTATTTAGAATAGGTAACTATATCATTACATTATATTAAACATCATATTCACAATATGTTGAAAAATGTTCAAGGGTTGAAGTTAATTTAAAAATATACGTTTACACTAATCACGATTATTATTGTTATTAATATTATTATTTTATATCGATAAAATTACCTAATATCACAAAATTACACATTATCATAAAAAGTACACATTAAAAATAAATTGAGTTTACTACCTGAAATTTTTTTTATTATTCTTAAGCTCTATTGGGTGTTCCAGTGCCAGAGTTGCTAAAAAATAATTAATTAAGTTGAGATCAAAGTTTAAGAAAAATTTAAAAATAGTCACTTGTCAAATAAGTATTTAATTTTGTCATGAACTACATAATTTTAAGGAATAGGTAACTTTGGCATGTATAGAAATGATTTTAAAACAATAACAAAGACCAGTTGTTTTGAAATTTTGTTGGTTAGGTAACTCTGGCACTAAACCACTTTACTATCCCTTCACCCATCTATTTCGGTTCATTGTAGTTGTAATATCCATTCCAAAAATCTCCATACTCAGGAATAACTAAAACAAAAAAAATAAAGGCGCAGTGTGTATCTTAAAATTAAACTAAAATTTTTAAATAAATTTGTTTCTGATAATTTTAAAGCAGTCTTAATTGTATTTTTAGATTTTAATAAACTATTTTTTAATCTTGAAATTTTGTTTTGCTGCTCTCGATTAATATAATAACATTTTCTCTTTCTAGGAGTAATAATTTGATTTAAAATACCAGTTCTTACACGTGGTTTCTTTATTAAAGGTTCCTCAACACATTCAATTCTATCATTAAAAAAATCTAGCTTTCTTTTAGCTGAAGTTATATTCGAAACAGAAGGTTTAATCAAAACATTACTAATTACATTTATTTTTGCAAGAGAATTTGATGAAGGTAGCTTTGAAATATTTTCATCTAATGTAATATTATTATTAGTAGTAATATTCTCTTCTAAAGGCGCTAAAGGCAAGGCAAATTTAATGAGCTTAGTAGGCAAAGTGCTGGTGAAGGCATTCTCGTCAAAATGATCCTCGCACTATAGTTTTTTTTAGATGTGTAGGGAATATTTAAAATATCAAACCATTTCTCTCTAAGGGTAATAATGGATGGAAAAGTAAAAAATTTCTTATTAAGTGAATGTAAATAATATTTGCTTCTGCAATTTGGAGCAGCACATGATAATGTGAATTTATTATAAGTTAATGACATCGTTAAGGACCTCAGTATATTTTTACACCTATAAATTACTTAAATTTAACTAAAACTAAATTAAAAATAAGATTAATTAAATTTTACTCACCTACATTTTCCACGACTGTCATGTTTTAGTGTAACATAACCTAATATATTAGCAAAGCCAGATTTACACCACCTCATAATATTCAAATGTAGCTTTAACTTTATAAATTTATAACAATTATCCCTGTATTTGATCATTATATTATATTAAAGTGATATTTAAAAGATTGCATTAGTAAAATTATTGATTTCTTTAAAATTTATTCATTTTTTAATTATCATATGGGTGTAAAAACGGCTTTTATTTAGTGCTCGCAGCGCGTGAAGCGCGATATGATAAACTACAAACAAGGAAACAATTCCCGCCTATTATTCAAACCTTGTCTTTTTAGTTTTTCTATGGTTTCACTTGCCTGTTGACGTCACCGATGCCTATTACGTCACCTGTTACCACTAGTAGAGAAGCTTACAATAGTTCATTTTCACCCTCCAAATTTGATCAGTCTAAGTATCACCGTTCAAAAGTAAAGAGGAGGGAGGGGACTTTTGAGAAGCACTGTATACATCTGGGTGGCAGTGGAAGGCGAATGAGATCATCCCATTCATTTTTAACCTAACATATCATGTACATTTTCATAAAAATATGTTTTGGACTAAGAGCAAAAAATCACTTCTCCTGTATATTTTTTACTATTCATTTTTCGTATAAGCTTGAATCGGATTATTTTCGATCCCAGATACTGTGTTAAATGTACTTACATCTTTTTTGTTACACACTGTATATATCAAATTACATTTAAGAGAAATGCGTCACTTACCTCCAATACTTTAAAGCGTCTACTAAAACGAACTCAGTATCGCCACCCGTGCATACGTAGTGATCGAGATAGTTCCAATTATAATGTTCTAGTTTTTCGGTAGTAAATGTGGCATATGATTCTTCGTAATTATCATGCCATGGGGCATGAAACCTGTAGCGGTATTGGTAGTTGAAACCCGGATATGGGTGCCTAAAAATAAAATGAATCATTCCTATTTGGAGAAATAGCGCAATTATAGTTGAAATAGATTGGCGAAATTAGGATCCAGCTGGGATAGTATGTTTGGCAGCTGCATTTAAAGTAGAATTTCTAAAATCATTTTGGCAAATCATTCAGGTTTCATCCTCAATGGTAAGTGGAGTAAATAAGCTGAGAGTGATACTCTGGTGTATGTGCTTGAGGGGTCGAGAATGAATTATCTAAGGTACTGGATAACTGGATATGTATTGATACACTTGGATGGGCGGGTGGGTTTGTCTTCAGTTTAAGTAAATCCTTAACTAATTTTAAATATTTTGGTCGCTGGCATGAACATCGGGACAGTTTTTTCTTAGTGGTAATTGGTTCATATAAGAATGACAACTTCAGATGAGGGACTTTTATCTTTATTTTTATCGGTCATAAGCAGGTAGATTAGATTTAGCACAGAAAACTGCGATCTCTTGGGTTTACTGTATTCCCCTGCTTTCTCGTATTCAGGTACAAACTTTGAATAGTCCTGTGCCTTTGATTAGTTTTACAAAGTTCCCCACCAAATGTTCAAGAGGCGTTCTTTCCAGTTCTAGACCGAAAAGAGTCGCCGCATAGAAAAAGCTTCACATTCAGAGGTAACACGGTATGATTTCTTTCTCTTCAATGTAGATTTTATAGGTAGGTATTAAGGTATTTCATGCGTTAGTCATCCCACAATGGTGGATATCTGGGAAAATGAGGGATGCTCAGTTGAGGAAATCAATCCGTTATTCTTTATCAGATGGAGACCGACAAAACAAGCATTTGCATTATTTGCTCTGGATGTTTCTCAGTTGGATTCGAGCAATAGAGTACTATGCTTATTAAAAGTTTACCATAGTTAATAGCTTATACAATTTAAGTAGTACATGAAGTTATACCTGGAGATGTTAGAATCCATAGCGATTAAAACAATGTTTAGTTGAGTGTAAGTATTGATGACAGGATTGATATATCAGTATTAATTATCCAGAAGTGTAGTATAAGAAAGTGAAAATAAAGTCACATAGTATAATTTACCTTGGCCTGTATCTGGTCACAGATATGGTATTTCCGGACAGCGATATTTTGTGAAACAGTCTTCCTATAGATAAAAAGTAACTTTCATCGTTATCGGTATGAGTGGTTCGAACCACGCTGGTTCTCATTTTGGGATTCGGTCCTGACATCTTACTCAAATTCGCATTGTCCGCCATTACGATTAACTGGAATCCTTGAGACAATCGTTGCGAAATTAATTCTTTAAACACCTAAAACAAGAGTTATTTTTAATTTTACTTCTATTGTGCTAAATTATGAACTATACTTGGGAGACTACGAAAAGATACTTGTTGATGATGACGTTATAAATTATATATTATTCCACAGGAAGGTCTGTGAATCCCAGGGATTAAAAAAGTCTTGATTATTCTCATGTAATCTTTAAAACTAAAATTTACCTCGACAGTTGTTAACGGCCTTTTATAAGACGACCTTTGTTGGACGAAATCTGCATTGACGCTGTCAGGAAGAAGACTGTATAGAGAAACAACATAATCTATATTTAGCGCTCGCCTGTCTGGAAAGTAATCCGTTGTAATAGGAAGACACGCCGGAATTGTCAAAGATTTCCAATCCACTCCTTTTTTTAGAAAGAAAATAAGATGAAGAAAATGTTCCATTTTTAGTGTTCCCATATTAACTACTTGGTATTTACACAAAGATAAAAAGATTTTTAAAAATTTAATATTAATTTAAAAATAAATTTAATTATGTCAATTTAACTGTAATATTTTTGTGTTAAAACCAGTGTTCGACAGGAACAAGGAAATCAAAATTAAAACAATATTTTACAAGATTTAACTTTATAAAAGCAGAACCTCCAGGTTTTTCTTGCTATCAAATGTATCAGGTAAAATCAAAACGAAAAAGATAAGAGTGATCCAAATAAATGTTTTTAAAGTAGGCCATGAACGAAAAACACGAGTCATGTCCGTTATAACTACGCACGGCTCCGAATTAATTCCAAACTGACACTAAAAAAGAATAATTTTTTGAAAAATTATTTTAGAAACATTTTTTTATGGATCACTTCATATTCAATAAGAAACAAATTTCTGAATTTCAGCCTGGATATTCTTTAGTCTAAGCACTGCTTAACCCCTATTAGTAATGTTATAAGCACAAAGCAGTATCTACGAATATTAAGATAGAAGATGAAGCAGATATAAAATTAAAACAAAGTATTTCGAGAAGTTTTCTTAAGTATTCATAGGGAGATAAAATTAACAAATGTATGAATTATATAAAATGTTTATTAAGTCTCTAATACGTTTAAATGAGTACGGTTTTTTTGCATAAGCGGCAAGATATCACATATTATGTGAAAGTCCATTGTACAAGGTGTTACCAGATTTACAAATTGATGTTCTATTCTGAAAATCAAACTAAAGCGTCATTACGGTCTTTTATGCGCAACCTATTTTAATGCATATCTGTTGCCAATCGTGCATGATGTGATTGTGTGTACTCAGGAACAGATAAAGTTTAATTCGCACTATAGGGAACGTCAACGTTACGTACATTTGAATTTGAATTACTTCTATCAGTTTGTAGTAAGTGCTCTGACTGTTGCTACCATCAGGTGCGATTTGAACAATACAGAAATTAAAAAAAAGAGAAAAAGTAATGATTGTAATAATTTTTGATAAAGAAGAAATGAAGAAACAAGCTGAAAAAACCGCCGCGTCATGAAGCAGCAGCAACCTCCCCACCTAAACCTCAAAGTCAATGGCAATTAAAATATTAAAGTAGTTTTATTATTTTCGTATTTATATCTGATGTTTCTCAAACACATGATTTTCCACTAAAGTTAGATCCAGGTCAAAACAAAAAAATGAATTTGTACTTTTTATCAAATATCTGCAATACGGTTCATTTTAAGGACATTATGAATATGAAAAAAATCATAGAAAATAATATCCCAAAAAACTTTTATCAAACGATTTTTATTTTTAAATCATAAGTAAGGGTACGGACATACCGAAGATATATGGATGTGCGCGGTGGAGGTCGCGGTCGCTACATCGATGTCAAAACAAACCTTCATTTTCTTATGAGATCGCACATACCAAGAATGTTTCAACAAAATAGTTTGTTTTGCATCGCGATCGAGCTGTTCATCGCGTGGTAAATTGTTGTAAACAGGGTGCGAGACGTTTGGGTTGTTGTTTTGTGCTCCGGATTTATAGGATAAATGCCATAAATCTGTCTGAGTGGTGTTTTTCAAGATCTTTAAATAGGTAATGGTATTCATCTAGATACTGCCTTTTTTTTTGATTTATAGGATGAACCGAAAATTGGCGATTTGAAGAATTACAAATGATCCACCATTTTTCACTTGAAAACATACTATCAATGTCGTCACTACTGTTGCTTCTATACATAGTTTTATTATTTAAGCAAACTTTTCTGAAACAGTGTCAGTCAACTCAGAAACCGCAAAGAACACTGAAAGGAAGGCATCTTCGGTATGTTCTGCTCGTCATCAATATAAACCTCGACCGCGATCTTCACCGTGCACATCCATGTATCTTCGGTACGTCCGTACCAGAAATATACCAAAAAGGACAAAAACAACCATCTACAAAGTACTTCCTCAGTTGGCCCGACGATGCCCAAAATCTAATCATCGCTTCAAGGGCCCATGAAAACCCTATTTTTCAAAACGTATCGAAATCGGCCAATTATTTGGGAAGTATCGTGTAAAAAACATCACCCACATAATACAGGGTGTCCCAAATTTCCGTGTACATAGAGCTAGTGTATGTTGGTGAGATCAAAATAAGTCGATTGAGCCAAAATTACTTATATCAATCACAAAGTGCTTCGTTTGCCTGTGAGGAAGCTTCAAAGTTTTTTTTATAAACTCAAAAACACTTCTTTCAATTTTTATAAAATTTGTTATATAGCTATTTTAATTGAAGAGCCATTGTTCAAAGCAAAAATTACACCATCTGAAATCATGAAAGGGTAAAAACCACCCTAATCATACCATAAATGACTTCGTATTTTTTTTTGAGGGCCGCTCCTGTTCCCACAATTTTTTGTCTCTTGCAAAAAACACGTATCTCTCATGGTATTTGTGACGTATGCAACATGGCTTAAGTTGGCAATACTAATATTGGTAATGTCAGGGCACATGCCCAGAATGAACTGTTCCTCAGTCTATACTTATACTCCGAGCATGAATGTTACCGACCGAGAATAACCGTTGCAGCCTTAATGTAAATTTTAAAGTAACGTGTAAATTAATGTATCGTGTAATAAACAGTCATAAGCACATAGTGTTTTAATTACAAATATATAGATACATCACAATGGCGGCGAGGAAAACAAATTTATAGACTGGTGGTTAGTGACTTAAAATTTTCAAGAAAACTAAGTTGGCGGTTATAACTACCGCAACCCGAACATTGTCGTTTCTGTCGTTATTTTTCTGTGAAAAACTGCATCGGCCGCTCTGCGCTCTTGAATGACTTGTACAAAATGCAAACGAGACTCAGAATCAGGAGGTAGGAGTTCCTGAACACTTTGAATGTAAAAGGGATAGATAAGTTGTTCTTTCATTTTCTATTGGATGTTATTTTCGAAACCCTAGTTTGGCGTGCCTGTCATCGAGTACTAATTCTGAGATTAATTTTAACTATTTCAAGTATTCCCTCCTCTGCAGCAGGAGTTCTGGCTTGACGAGGTCGTCTAGCATTATCTGTTCGGTTTCAGTTTCTCGAAGTCGCCGCTCGATAGAAGCAAAAGTCTGGTGATTCGGAATCTGTCGATTTGAAAATCTTTCATGGTATACTCGAACACTCTCACGGACAGTTGCCATTACAGAAACCAAGCACTAGCAACATATCAGTTTGTTCATTAAATGTGTACTCCATACCAGCCACAAAATGTTTGAAATAACTCCTTCACAAGAACTTTAAAGCGAAACAAAAAATATATAAAATGAGTAGTATCGACAATTTACGCTAGTTTAGTGATGATGTAATTATGGTTCCACTGACAATTAAAGTGACAGTAGATTTTTTGAGTGCGTTTTGTTCACTTTTATAAATATATTCCTAAAGTAAGTAGATGCATTGAATATACAATCGTTTAGTTACCAATTACATACCTTTAAACTATTTTTTATGACCTGTAAACAATATTTAGAAATAAACTAAAAATAGTAAAAACGTAATGTCAAATTTATTGATGTTTTTGTTAAAAGTTTGGTTAGAATTAAATGTCAGTGGAACCAAAATGACATCATACTGAACTAGCGTATTATCAAATTTTTATTAGCAACGTTGATAACTGCCAACTTAGTTTTCTTGAAAATTTTAAGTCACTAACCATCAGTCCATAAATTTTTTTTACTCAAATACCATGATACATGTTTTTTGTGAGAGGCAAAAAATGCTACAAATGAATACAGCTCTCCATAAAAATTAAGGGAACAGGGTCGGCCCTCAAACAAAAAAAAAATACTATGTCATTTACGGTAGGATTAGGATGGTTTTACCAGGGGCGGTAAAGATAAACAAAAGTATGGTTTAACCTTTTAATACTCAAGCAACTGGTCAGTCGTCTAATTAGCAAAGAGGAACAAATCCAGCAAAAGTATTATAATATTAAAATGACTTCATTGCCAGTTTGGTACCAATCGATCACAAGGTAAGTACGAAATGCATAAGAGCATAAATTTAATAATACTGAAAATATACCTAAATCTTATTATACTATATACAATAAACTTACATTATTTATCTAATATACAGGGTGGCTCACGCTCAACGGGACGGAGCTTTATGGGAAAACGACCAAAGATATAAAAAATTCGTTTGGGAGGAATACGTAGGTTACAGACGGCTACAATTTAAAATTTGTTAGATGTATACAGGATGTCCCACATAAGAGAAAATATACAAAGTTATATTATTTGTAATGGAACACCCTGTTTTTTATTTTAGAATTAAAAACTACATCAAAAATAATGTCAGTTAACTAAAGGTTCCCTATTACTATTATTATTAGTTTTCGATTTATTTGAATTTTTAAGGAAAAAAAGTCTCCCAGAAATTGTTTACTCTTGTTTGAATAATTTTTAATGAACTAATTTTTTTTTCTTATGTGGGACATCCTGTATACATCTAACAAATTTTAAATTGTAGCCGTCTGTAACCTACGTATTCCTCCCAAACGAATTTTTTATATCTTTGGTCGTTTTCCCATAAAGCTCCGTCCCGTTGAGCGTGAGCCACCCTGTATATTTTATTTTAGGCTCTATGAGAAACTAAATAATCTATGCCAAAACAGCCAACAAAAGTAAGGGTAGATAAAATGAAATACCCACTTAGATTTTCTAAACTAAAACTATTCGATAGTTAGAATGCGAAACAGCTTTATTTATATACAAGATGATACTATGACAATGATGTTATTAAATATATGTACAGAAAGGTGATGCACGGTAATGTTTTTAGCAATAATATATATACAAGGAAGCTAAGGGTGGCTAAAATAGAGCTCAGGCAATGAAGTAGGCAATGGAACGTTCTTACTTGTTCTGTGGTTTCCTGATGATCTACCACCAGG